TAAGTCTATTCACTGAACAACACACAGAGATACCCCTTCCCCAGCTCCGGCTAAGGACTATGGGATGGCACTGAGGGCCTCCCTGGAGTCACAGGACAGAGGGTGGCTGTGGTTAGGGGCTGAGCATGAGTTTGAGATCCATATTCAGTCAGGGAACAAAACATCCTGCTGTTGGTTAGGTTTTTTTTTAAGGCTGAAGGATTTGGGGTTGCTGTGGGGAAACCTTTTAAAGTGATCTTCATAAAGGGGACTTCAGGAAAGTTAAGAAGGGAGCTTTTTTCAGGGAGTATAATGATAGGACAAGGGATAATGCCTTTAAACTATAAGAAGGTGACTTCAGATTTAACATGAGGAAGAAATGCTTTACTCAGAGGGCAGTGAGGTGCTGGCACAACTGCCCAGAGAAGCTGTGGTGCCCCTGGAGGAGCTCAAGACCAGGTTGGATGGGGCCCTGGGTAGCTGAGCTGCTGGGTGGCAGCCCTGCCCACAGCACGGGGTGGGACTGGGTGGGCTTTAGGTTCCCTCCCAACCCATACCATTCTGTGATTCCACTCAAATCTTTTTTCATCCAGTTGTTGTTGGACCTATATATTTATCAGCACAGATATCAATCAGGGAATAAGTGCTACCTTCATGCAGAGAAACAACATTAATTACACAGAGCCTCTGCAGTGTGCCACTTGCTTCCCATGGGTAGCCTGCTGCAGGCAGAGTGCAAGGAGAGCTCCACGCCCTGGGGAGTGGAGGCTGTTTTCAGTTCCCTGTGAGAGGCATCCCTGCCTGCTTGGGAAGAAAACTGCAGTCAGAGAGCAAAGGGAGCCCCTCTGTGACACCCAGGGCTTGCAAGCAATGGGCAGCACCAAATTGCCACTGGCTCCAGGGAGCCAGTGTGGGAGGTGCTGCAAGATGTAGCTTTGTTGGAGGGCTTGGGACACAATTATGTGCCAAGGAGATCCCCAGAGTGTGGCAAGTGGGAGGGGGAATTACCAAAACTACCTGCAGGGAAATCCCAGATGCAGGGATGTAGGTTGTCAGGCTGCTGAGAAGTGTTTCCTTCTTGCGGTGTTTGTTGCAATGCTGCAGAAGCCTAACAATAGCAAGCTTTTGTTGGCAGTACAGCAAAGCACATCTTGAAGGAGACATCCAAGAGAGAACAGCTTAATAGCTTAAAATAGCTACAGCTGTGTGGGACAGTCCTCCTCCTCCTTTTTGCTTTTGATCCCAAGAGGGGTCTAGGACAGGAAAACTGCTCCATCTCTGATGCCCTCTGGGGAGAGGGGAGGGCAACACCTCAGTAGGGCTGGAGGGTGGGGGCATTAGGATGATGGTGCATTGCAGACCATTGCAGCCAGTGATCCCAAGGCTCTCCAGACATCCCATCCCAGATCTATAAGCTCTCAAGAGCTAAAGTGTGATGTTGCCTAACAGTTAACAAAGGTCACCAGAAGAGGAGGTAACGGAACCCTCTTTTAGTTCTGTTGAATTGTATCCACACACATGGAGGATATCCAAATACTCACCATTTCTGTCTGCATGGAGGACAACAGGTCTGCCATAGAGATCTGTGACCCCACAATCCGGACATGTGGACATGTGACAGCTGAAGATTTGTTTGTGCACATGCCCTCCTATGGAAGGAAACCAAGACATCCAGCCTAGGGAGAACTGGGATAGAACGGTCATCTTTTGAGGGGGAAAAAAATATTTCAGGCATGGAGAAAGCTTTGGGGAAAAGATATGCCTGTGAAGCTGTGCAAGATGAGGTTGAAAACAACAACTCTGCCCATTGTGAGGCCATGGGAACTCACTCAGGTCACTGCACCCTGACTTCAGGCAGCCAGATTTGGTGCTCTTAGTTCAAAAAGTCAAGGAGTATTTATGCCACATCCCCATTCGCCAAGCCCCTTACATGTGGCATAATACCCTCAAGGGAATCTAGAGACTTCAGCATGCATCAACAAGCTGCGGAGAGCAGAGGGGCAGGGCAGTCCCCTGGCCCTGGGCAGGCCTGGCTGTCATCAGAAACTCAGCTTTCACTCAGAACTGCAAAAACTTCAGCCTGTTACAGAGAAAAAGCCTGAAAGAGCAGTCATGTACCCCAGAAGCTGAAGGAGCCTCACCCGGGTGTAGCGAGCTCTAGAAGAATTGGATCCTGGCAAACTCTTCAGAAGTTTTGTCTTGATCAAGCATATAGAGACTGCTCTTAAAAAAAAAAAAAAAAAAAAAGCAAAAAAAAAGCAGCTTCCTGACTCACTCTCTTCCCAAGACTGCCCTAGCCCAAGGCATTTTCCCTGCCTTGGGAAGTGTTGCAAAATTTGAGCTTGCCCTGGAGGTATCTCTCACTAATTACTGGATATCCTGGTTTTGTGTAAGGACACAGCCAGAACTTCCCACAGGTTCTTCTTTATGGCATGGGAAAAAAACTAGAAACACTGATTTCTGTTTCGGCATCCTACAGCAGACTACTGAAAAGGGCTGATTAAACACTCAAGGGGATCTCTTTCTGGAGCCATCCTCTCCAGCTCCAGGGCATCACTCACCAGCAGTCTCTAAGAAGCAAGGAATTTCAAAGGCAAAACCTACTTCACTTTTAATATTTGCCTTTTGTACCTGAAGCTTGGGTCACTTTCAGTTTTTTTTTTTTTTCTTCTCTGTAATAAAGAAGGTTAAAACTTTCAAGTGAGAAGCAAAGACTCTGAGAGCTCTCTGAGACGAGACCCATTTGAGTTTGCACCACCTTCCAGCCAAGTTGCAAAGGGCTAATGAGCCAGCTGGTGAAAGGCAGAGTGCAGAAAATTACAGCCCTCGCCCTGACAAGAGGTAGCGCAACCCTGATGACTGTGTCAGCTCAATGCTAGGCAGATGGGCTATAAGCTTCCTCCCATGTTTGTTTTCACATCAGTGCAAACTGCTCCAGCTTTGAGATATTGAACAGATCATGCCATATCTACTCATCCCAGCTTGCCAGCATCAGTCGGGCCACTGATCCCCATGGAAACAACACATTCCTCCACATCTGGCAGCACTCCAGCTGTGTGCCTGGAGTGCAGCACTGGGCTGAAGCTGGTGGTCACCTTTCATGCTATTCCTTCAAAGTGCAGTGATAGGATTACAGAGGATTTCTCCAAATTTTGAGAAACATAGAGGTGAAAACTGCCTTGAACAGGAAGTAACAATTTAAGGATTTTTCCCAAGTAGTAATTATCCAATAAGTCTGCTTCATTAAAAATACAGCCTGCATACACATACTCACCTACCTCAATGGACCTCTTCTTCTACAAGGGCAGTTTTATGCAATTTCTGTTCAAAAAAAAAAAAAAGCCTATGCCAGAAAGCATGTAAATGTATCGCCAGAGTTGCTGAGAGAGAAGAGAGCTCAGTTCTCAGTCTCCTTTTCCTACCTTCCTTCTTGAGTACTTCAGCTCATCAGCTCTTCAAGGGGGTCTTAATTCTCTGCACAATTTTGCACGAAAG